GTCAGGCTGTCCCCCTATTTCTTCTGGCTCAGAGGTTAACAGCATGTCCACCGATTCTCTGTTGAACCCCAATTTGCCTGTACACCAGACATAAAATCCAGAGAAAACTTACAAGTTGACTAAAACCAGTAGAATAAAGTTTGCTAGAGACTGGGGTATCCCCCCAAATTTTGCAAAGTCCCAGGTTTGGGCACCAAAAATGTTGGATCCCAGGGGTGTGCAAATTATGAGGAACAGATCACCAAAGTCTAGGAGCCAGAAGCAAGCTTTATTCCAATCACCACGGGGCACATAAATAATTCCATAGGTCAGAGTTCAGGCTTCTGACATTTTGACAATGGAAGCAGGTTTTGAGTCTCTTCTTTTTATTTTTTTTATTTATTATGTATACAATATTCTGTCTGCATGTATGTCTGCAGGCCAGAAGAGGGTATCAGACCTCATTACAGATGGTTGTGAGCCACTATGCGGTTGCTGGGAATTGAACTCAGGACCTTTGGAAGAGCAGGCACTGCTCTTAACCACTGAGCCATCTCTCCAGCCCCTTGAGTCTCTTCTTAAAGTCAAATCAAGCTTCAGGTGTGGGTAAAAGAGCATTTACAACCTTGAGGTCAGGGTTAGAGTCATGTTACATGTTAAGTTTTACAACTTTTGATTATATGATGCTAATTTAGGATGTTTGCAGGAGCCTGAGGCTGACACAGCCACTTCTCACTGTCCCTGAAAGGATGCAAGGCAGAGAGCAGAATCTCAGAGAAGGGAAGTTGAAAGTTAAGGGAGTACAATGCAGGGAGTCCCATAGAGGCAATGGTTAGGACCTAAGCGGCCCTCACTGAGCTGCTGGAACTGCTGAGTTGGGAGGCAACTGTTAAAACTTTACCTCTGCACACAGTAGCTGCCAGGATATCTGCTCTCAAGGCAGAAAGTGGTTGTTAAAGGTTAACAGTGGCTTTATTTACCCCCCAAATGTGTTTAGGCTTACAGTTTTATGTTCTGGGCTCTTCGGTAGAAATCGAGGGAACTCGGTTGACCTTGGAAGGCAAAAGGCAAAATAGCATTCTAGTCCTTCTCTTCGCCGTGGCAAAGGACTCCAAATATGCTTACTGAATACCATACTTGGTCAGTTACACCAGCACTGGACAGTAAATCATGTTTTAAATCTTAGCACTTGTAGATAAAGCTCAAGTAAAAAACTAAGAAATTTTCAACATCTTATTAAAAGATCTGAGCCAGGCAGTGGTGGCGCTTGCCTTTAATCCAAGCACTTGGGAGGCAGAGGCAGGTGGATCTCTGAGTTCGAGGCCAGCCTGGTCTGCAAGAGCTAGTCCCAGGACAGGCTCCAAAGCTACAGAGAAACCCTGGCTCGAAAAACAAAAAATAAAAAATAAAAGATCTGAATACAAATTACATACACAGCATAATTAAGATTAGGTGTGCACGCATGTGCACACACACACACACACACACACACACACACACAGAGGCTCACCAAGCTAAGGTACTGTGAATGGATTGACAAAAGACAGAAAATGGTCCTTCCCCGTCCAGAGTGAGTATTTTCTTTTTATTAAGATTAAGAAAAGGACATCAGAACAGGAACACTTGATTTTCTTCAAAACGTCTTTTAAATCGAAACAATGCTCAGCATTTTGTTAGCTTGGCTAAATATCAAGCTAGGCACATCCTGTCCTTTCAAAGCTAATAAGTAACAAACATAGACACACATTTTCAAGAACTACAATATTGTTCAAAACAAAGCAGACGGAGGGAGAACATGACCAAGGAAGTCAGGACCGCGAGGGGTGCATCCACCCACAGAGACGGTGGGGCTGATCTAATGGGAGCTCACCAAGGCCAGCTGGACTGGGACTGAACGAGCATGTGATCAAACCGGACTCTCTGAATGTAGCTGACAAGGAGGGCTGACTGAGAAACCAAGGACAATGGCACTGGGTTTTGATCCTACTGCACGTACTGGCTTTGTGGGAGACTAGCCAGTTTGGATGCTCACCTTCCTAGATCTGGATGGAGGGGGAAGGACCTTGGACTTCCCACAGGGCAGGGAACCCTGACTGCTCTTCAGACTGGAGAGGGAGGGGAAAGGGGAGTCAGGCGAGGGGGAGGTAAGTGGGAGGAGGGGAGAAGGTGGAAATTTTTAATAAATAAAAAAAATGAAGAAAAAAGAAAAAAAACTTAACGAAGCATATTTACAGAAATTGGTGATTTGCTGTAAACTGCCTGGATACAATTAGCTTGCGTTTCTTTAACTGCCCATTAATTGTTATTGCCTCTGATCCTGTCAGCACTGAGGAGGAACGATTCCCAGGGTCTAGGGTGACTGCTGGTATTTCCAGATAAGAAACCGGAGAAGCATCAGTTCCCAAGAATTTTAGAGGAAAATACTTGAGAAAAATGGGATTTCCAGGAATGATCACATCTGACCCCTGCGTGACTGATGAAGTGACACAAAAAACCACCAAGAGAATCGTCAACTTTGTGAGAGAGAAGAGAGCGTGCAGGCTGGGCGGTCCCAGCAGAATTCTGGGCTGTTCCCAGGTCTGCTGGTCCATGTTGAGTGAGAAACTGTCCCCATGGGCTTTGCCTTGTGGAGATGCGTTGGACAAGCACTCAAATGCTGATCTGAAACTAGGCCACAGGGCTCCCAGCACAATGCAGCATCTCAGTTCCTTGTAGAAAACAGCATTGCATAGCTAAAATAAAATTTAAAACAAATTTGACATACTCTTTGTTTGCATATATTGCTTCAAGACAAAGCTGTAATAAATAAAACTTGCCTGAAGTTCAGAGAGTAAAACATTCGCACTGCTCAGCCTTACAGACCAGGCAGGAGTGACACACACCTTTAATCCCGGTAGGCCATGACCACTGCAAGTCTTATAAAGGAAGACATCTAACTGGGTTGGCTTATAGTAACAGAGGCTCACTCCATTACTGTCATGGTGGCATGCAGGCAGACATGGTGCTGGAGAAAGAGCTGAGAGTTCTACATCTGGATCTGCAGGCAGCAGGAAGAGAAACTGGGAAACTGGCTTGAGCATCCGAGACCTCAAAGCCCGCCCCCCCCCGCCCCCCGACACACTTTTGCCTACAGTGCCACACCTACTCCCACAAGGCCACGCCTTGTAAGTCTCGCTCCCTGAGTCTATAGAGGTCATTTTCTTTCAGACCTCCACAGTGGCCCATCGTTGGCCATTACAATACCTTACACCTTCAGCCCTCCAACAGAAGAATGGAGCTGACCTTTTCTTTGCTCTGTGTTCTGTAGAATGCCTGCCTCTGTGTGTGTCTGGCTGTGCGAGTGTGTTACGGCTAAGAAAGTGCCATTTTATGCTGGGCATCCTTCTTGGTACCCACCAGCTGCTTGTCTCTGACTCCAGTCCCTGAAAGATCAATTCCCAGTAACCCTGATCCATGACTATCTACTTGTTATGATCTGACTGCCTTTTTTGTTTGTTTGTTTCTGTAACTTGCTTACACAGATACCCAAAGATTGTTTTGAGTTTTCTTAATCACTTGGCAGAACAGAGCAGTTTTTGCTTGATTGCATAGTTGTCGAGGGTCTTCTTTTGGGTTTCCCTTTAAAAGTTCTTTCCCATACCTTCCTTCACAGCAATCTCGAATGTGTCTCCCAGACTGTTCATTCTGATAACAGCTAGTCGATACAACTTTTAATTATGATTGGATTGAGTCTATGGTCTTTTCCCAGGGAGTCACAAAAGTAGCACAAGTGTAGTGCTTTTAATAAAATTAGTAAATGGTTGTTGCCTGCTGTGTCTGAGCTTCTTCCCTCCTGTTACCTGGGGTGCCGGAGGCTTCTACTGTCTCGGTTCTTTAATTGGCAGAGGAGGCAAACCTGTTCCAAACTCTACTTCGCCTCCAAACCCTAGGACCGGATCGTATAGCCTTCTGTATAGCTAAGCGCAAATGTTCAACTAGCCATCTTAGGGCACACAGGAAGCCCTACCTTAAGATACTATTCATCCCGAAAATTGCAGATGATAATCCAGTTCCACAATTGTCTAATTGAAGCAAGCTTTAGTTTAGAGAGGCACCGGGGAACTGGCCAGCAGGCTGTCTCACCCTAATCTTGGATTTTAGAGAGCAGACCCTTCTGTCCTCTTGAGGTCCCTTTTATGAGGGAGAGATAAGAACTGGCGTTAGAGATTGTTAGAGAAATACAATGAAAGAGGAAGACAAGGATATACATCGTGTAAATGGCGTCATTATGTTTTGCAGGTTACATCAGATTTAAGGAACAAACTTATTCTTTTTGTTTGCTTGTTTGTTTCGAGACAGGGTTTCTCTGTATCTTTGGAGTCTGTGCTGGAACTAGCTCTTGTAGACCAGGTTGGCCTCGAACTCACAGAGATCCTCCTACCTCTGCCTCCCCAGTGCTGGGATTAAAGGCGTGTGCCACCACTGCAAGGCACAAAAATATTTTCTATTTAAGAATAAGTTTGTTGTCGGGCACTTGGGAGCAGGTTCCAAAGCTACAGAAAACCCTGTCTCAAAAAGCCAAAAAAAAAAAAAAAAAAAAAAAGGGGGGGAAGGAAAGGATTTTTGTATAAAAGTATGGAAGTTTAATGCAGTGGGCTTCTTCATTTACAAGGTATGTTGCTTCTGTTTTGGTCTCACATTATCTACCATCAAGAACATCATTTTTGTTGTTGTTTGCTTTTGAGACACGGTTTACTCTGTAGCTTTTGAACTCGCTCTTGTAGACCAGGCTGACCTCGAACTCACAGAGATCCCCCTGCGTCAGCCTCCCACCACCACCCAGCTGAAACTGTCATTCTTAAATGATGGGAATGAAGTTAGGGTTCTAGTTTTATCAACCCATGGATTGGTACCCCTCTCTGTCACTCAGGGTCTGAGCCGGTAAGAACTGAAGCCCTGTCCAATCGAAGGCGCCGGGGTGAGAAACGTGCAATCAGGCGAAGAGACCGAGAGTAGGGGGCGGGCTTTTGCGGTCTTGCTGGGGCCTTTGTCCCTGATACGCCGTCGGACCACCATCTTGGGATCTGGAGCCGGCCTCCCAGGTTCCGGGGACTCTGTCGGTACCGGCACGGTTCTGCGCCGCGCAGCGAGGACGCGGGGTGTCCGGACTCCGCCATGGTGAGCGCGACGTCCCCGCGGAGCTGGTGCCGGCGGCGGCAGAGTCCCCTAGCCCGAGCCTTCCGTCCCTCCGGCTGTGGGGTGGGGGCTGGGCGGGCCCCCGGTATCCTGGCGTCCCGTCGCATCCCTGGTCCCTGCGTGGGAACTCGAGTCCCGCTGCAGCGCTTTCCGCAGCTCTGGCCTGGCGGGGGCCGCGCGGGGGACAGGACTGTGGCAGGAGGCCCAGGGATACAGGTCCCCGTCTCTGGACGAAGGCCCCCGCGGGGTTTGGGGCTTGTGGCACTTCTCTGCAGCCAGCTGATCTGAAAGGACTTTTGTCAGCTGGACAGTGCCGGCTCCCTGCCCCAGCCACTCGTTGCCCCAGGATTTTCCTGGACCTGTGTCGCTGTACGGCTCCATCCCGCTCCCTCCGCCCTGTGTGCCTCTTGCTTTAAGTCTTATTTCTGAATCTCGGGCCCGCTCTATAGGACTAAGCTACCATACTGATTTTAGACGCGTGTGTCTCTTGATTTCTCACCACCGCTTCCCCTTGAGGCGTTTATTTTCTTGAGTCCAGTTCTCTAGAGCATGAATTGGAATTCAGATTCCCACATACCCATTGGGCACTATCCTATGGCTCTCTGTCATGGAACCTAGGGAAGCGTCCCAGGGAAGCAGTCACGCTCCTAGCCCGCGTGTGACAGGAGTGTCTGATGAGGTGTCCAGCAGCCCAGGTGTCCAGGCTCTTCTCAGAGGCAAACAAAGAACTGAAGTAGGGTCTTTGAAGAAAATAACCATCTCTTGAAGCAGAAAACACTCTGGCAGGAAGGATGGGGTCTCTAGAACAGGGAGACCTTGACGTGGTCTGAAGTAGTCATCTTGTTATCTTTTGGGGACCTGGGTTTAATCCCATCTCCCTACATTCAGTCTCTAGCCCAGGCAGCCTTGATCAGGATGGAGATAACCAAGGGTAGAGACCCTGGTCGATGGATGGTCTTGTTACACACACACACACACACACACACACACACACACACACACACACACACACCAAGGGTAGAGACCCTGGTCGATGGATGGTCTTGTTACACACACACACACACACACACACACACACGCACGCACGCACGCACGCACCTGCCTTAAGTGGGAAGTTCTATCTTCCCTGCTGGCCTGTCCCTATCATCCCTGACACCCAGTCTCCCCCCCCCCCCACCTTTTGAGGCAGGACTCCTCACACTGTAGCCAGGCTGCCACAGCTTATGGTGGTCCCACCCCAGCCTCCTGAGCACATGCGCCACCCACCACCCCACTTCCCTGTCCCCCTTTCTCTCCCCACCCCTTCCCTGTTCCTTGTTAGCATCTCTTTGAAATCCTGAGTGTGAGGACCTGAATGGAAAAGGACTTTTGCTGGCTGAGCCTCTACCCAGGCAGATGGAGGGCGCAGGGATGTGGGCTTCCAGAAGTAGCTGTGTACAGAGGGCTCACCCTTGCCCGCCTGCCTTTATCTACCTGTCCCCTTAGTGCCCTGTTAAGGAGAAAGAGGAGAGGGCTTTTAGATCCAGGCTCAACTTACCTTCACATCAGACATGGTGGTACCAGTAGGAGGTTGAGACCAGCTCAGGCAACAGAGTTCAGGGCCATCCTAAGCAACCTGTCCAGAGGGCCCTGGGTTCCAATCCCAGTCACCTCTCTGTGGGACTTCAGAGACGTCAATACTCTCTTCTTGAAGACTGGGGTGATGTCATCCCCTGACTCTCAGTGTCGTGGGCCCACAAAGGCCGAAGTGAGGAACTGCTTTAGAGAGACCCATGCTGCTCAGAGCCCACAGGCCTGACAGGAGATCTGGGGCCTGAGGGAGGAGGTGAGGGTCTGCAGGAGAGTCAGTCAGAGGGACAGGGGTTTAGGATGAGGCGACTGGTGGTCTGATTGTGTAGACCAGTTATGAGGGAGGAGAGAAGTTTGAGGAGATTTGAAGAGTGAAGGTGTGACCTGTGGAAAGACTGACCAGATAGAAAGGAGAAAAATTAAGGGGACATGGGAAGAGCAAGGAAGCCCCTCCTCTGCAGAACCCCTCCCTCTGGAGAAACCCCCACTCTGGAGAACCTCTGACCTAGAGAACTCCTCACTCTGGGAAACCCCTCCCTCTGAAGAACACCCTTTTCTGAAGGACCACCCCCACTCTACGGAACCTCTCCACTCTGGAGATCCCCACACTCTAGAGGAACTCCCCCACTATAGAGAACCCTCCTCTGCAGTCTGATGGAAGGAACTCTTATCAGCTGAGGGTCAAGTGGAATGTTTGCTGTGAAGTCGCCAACATAGAGTGTTACTTCTATACAGCAATATCTCCATTAAGAATATTAACGTTGCCGGTGGTGGTGGTGGTGCATGCCTTTTATCCCAGCACTTGGGAGGCAGAGGCAGGCAGAGCTCTATGAGTTTGAAGCCAGACTGGTCAACAAGAGCTAGTTCCAGGACAGGCTCCAAAGCTACAAAGAAACCCTGTCCCCCCCCCCAAAAAAAAGAAAGCAAAGATATTAATATTTTTGGTCTGGAGAGATGATTTAACAGTTAAGAGCACTGGCTGCTCTTCAGAGGACCAGAGTTCAATTCCCGGCATCCACATGCCAGTTCATAACCGTCTGTAGCTGCAGTTCCAGGGGATTGGGCACCCTCACACAAACATACATGTAGACAAAACCCCAATGCACGCAAAATATAAATAAATGAATCATTAAAAGAAAGAATATTGAAATTTTAATGAAACAGTCTCAAAGCTGGAGCCTCTAAGACATTGACTCTCTTGCAGATGTAAACTTGCATTCTCCTGGGACGTCCTCGTGATGCTGTTTCGAGAAGGCCCAAGACACTTTACTCCTGCAGGCTGGAAACGGTGAGTGTGTGGTCTAGCTTCCAGAACCAGGGGAGGGAAATCTGTAGCCTACATAATCAGACTGGTCCAGGTCCCCATCATCTATGCAACTTGACTGTGGGGTCCTCTCCCCCAGAGTCTCTTGATCCCCAACACTTGGATCAAATATTTGGTTTCTGTAAGCTGCGATTTGATGCTTTTGTGTCTTTGCTCGTGACATCAGGTTCCATTCTGTCTCCCAGAACTAAGTCTGCTGCCCTGAGCTCCACTTATGGGTTCTGGTGAATTTAGGCAGCCAGCACCGGGCCCTGGTCTGCTGGAGACAACTCACTCTGGCCTGCACAGGCTGTCAGTGGGTTCCTAGGACCGCCAGTGTGTTTGAGCTGCCAGACAATGGCCCATGTTAGTCCTGCCAATAACATCAGTGGAAGTGGACTGTGGCTGTTTGCAGGGGATGTTTGTGGACTAGCAGTTTTGTGCTGAAGGCGGTGATGATGTTGACCCTGGTATAAGGGCCCCTTGTCTCTGCTGCTTCTGAGTACCGGGCATGTGCGGAAGCTGGAAACTGCAGCCGTAGTGGAGTGGCTTAGGAAGCTGAACCTAGAGGACTTTTGTAAGCCTGGGCAGTGATGTAAGTGCAAGCTGGGAGGCTAAGCTAGTGCTGTTCGCCCTACCCTCCTACCCCAGACAGCCTGTGCAGGTCTGGGCGGTGCATCTCTGGTTTTGAGGCTCCGGCTGACTAGCTTTGAACGCCTGTGACTGTCTTTCTCTTTCCAGATCCAGGCCTGTGAGTGCCACTCGGCTTTGTTCTTATTGTCACTGACCATCTTTCCCTAGTGTCTCTTGGTCTCTCAACACATCTTCCCCCTGAGGCCTTTCCCTTCAGGCCCTAGGGTTGCTTAGGTATAGGCAGGAATAAGGAGTCCCACTTCCTGACTTGTTGATCTTGATTAACATCCCCTTCCCTCCCTCCCTCTGTATGTGTGTCTCTCTGTTTGTGTCTGTAACTAGAAAATGAACCTAGAAATTTCAGCACGCTTGACAAGTTCTGCCACCCAGCCACGTCCCCATGGGATCCTTGGTTTGTCTTTAGACAAGCTCTTGGTCTGTAGCCCAGGCTAGTCTTGAATTCGGAATTATCCTGCCTTGGACTCCCAAGCTAGGATTGCAGGGCTGCTCCATGAGGTCTGGGCCCATGTCCTTCGCAGCAGTGAAGAGAAGACCTCCCACCCCCACCCCATTCAGTGACCGACATTTGGCAGGATCCTTGTGCAAAAATATGCCTTTTTGCTTCCCAGGTTCTACCTTGTGCCTCCAGCAGCAGGCCTTGAGGTTGGGGTTTCTCAAATGCTCGAAATATGTCTTTATTTGTGGTGTTCATGTACCCAGCCCAAGGCATTGAAGATGATGCTTGTTGAATCCAGATGTAAATGGCTATAGGGACTGGGGGACAGGTACAGATGTGGTTAGAGGGGACTGGGGGACAGGTACAGATGTGGTGAGAGGGGACTGGGGGACAGGTACAGATGTGGTGAGAGGGGACTGGGGGACAGGTACAGATGTGGTGAGAGGGGACTCGGCAACAGGTACAGATGTGGTGAGAGGTGACAGACACAGCAAGAGGCAGACAGGCAGAGACCACAGTTAGGCCTTGTGTGCTCTAACTCCTTCCTCCCCTCCTTCCTGTTTTGCGGAGAGGTGCAAGTCTTGGGATGGGGGGTGGGGACAGTGGGGCAGGACTAGGGACAATGGGGCGGGGCATGGTGAGGTGATGCTCATGCTTGTGATGGGAGGAAGAGTAGAGTGTTCTTGTCTCTGCCCCGAGTGGGACCGACAGGCCTCAACTTTCAGCATTTTCCTAGGGTTGGTAACTGATAACAGAGTCAAAACAGATAGGCATAAAGGACTGGTTTTCCCTCTTTGGATCTTGAGCTTCAGAGGTTCCCACTCACCAACAGGGACAGCCCTTGGATGGGTTGTAGAAACTTATCAAAGAGGACTGGAAAGTCCTGCCTGATGCAAGCTGCAGGGCTGTTCTTCCTGTTTTTAGAGGAAGGAGCAGGGGATGTTACTGCTCCAAGTCCCCATGGGGGTGGAGTCCAGTCAGAAGACGGGGACCTGAGGAGGTTCTCTGTGTACTGGACGTCCTCTAGTTGAGAGGGCAGTGGGGCTCAGGCACATTTCCTTCTGCCTCAGTTTGGCTCTGTGTGGAAGTTTTATCAACTGCTCATCATCTTTGTGAGTTCCAGGCCGTAGCTGTCGCTACAGATCCGCAGCTGTCAAATCGGGAAACCAGGTCCACTCAGCAGCCACGCTCTCTCTATTCACATTTTGCTGGTTTTAAGACAAGGCTTTCCCAGGCTCACCATATAGACCCAGCTGGCTTTAAATACACTTTGATCCTCCTGCTTCTGTTGTTGGGGCTCCAGCTTTGACTACCCCTTGCTTCTGTCTTATAAATTCTGATGCTGTGTCATAGCTGTGTTACCCATGTTGGTTGCTTTCCCTCCGGGTTCCTGCACTGTGACTTTAAGAGTTGAAGACAATAACAGGTCCTCACAGGGTCACTGAACAGATTTCATTTAACCCATGTGCAGACTGAATGAATAAGGGGGTGGGGGTGGATGGCTCAGTCAGTAAAATGCATGCCATGCAACAAGAGGGCCTGGCATGCTGGTATGCTGGCATGCTGGGATATTTGTAACCGCAGTGCTAGGGGAACAGAGGCAAGTGGATCACAGTCTGACTGAGAGAGGAACCCTGTCTCAGAAACACAGCAGAAAGTTAACAGAGGGAGACCCAACCTTGACTTCTCAGGCACACATGTGTCTACACATGTGCCGTGTGCACACACACACATGGGAAGAGAGAACAAGAAGATAAAAGAATGAATGGTTCTATCTCTACCTTTTGTTTTTTATTTTTTGGTAGTGTTTTTGTTTTATTTGGGTAATGTTTGATTTTTATTTGTTTGTTTCAAGATAGGAACCCATTATATAGCTCACAGCGGGTTGGGATTCACTGTATAGTCCAGTATGGCTTCAAACTCATGGAACCTCTTATCTCAGCCTCCGAAGTGCTTATAGGTGCACACACTATTCCTACCTACATCGCTTGTCTTACCCTTATCCGCTCAGCGCATGGCTTCTCGTAACCCTTTAAGCACACAGAGGAGACAAGGTGGGTCTCCCCCGAGTCCCACTCAGAATTGACCACATCGCCCCCCCCCCCCCCCCCCCCCCCCCACCGCACCTTGTGAAGAAAGTTCTGCTGAAGTTTACACTCAGAGCTGTTTCCCAGCCAGGGACTGGGAGGAGATGGGGCTTAAACCGGCCATCTGTGGCTCCAGTGTTCTGGTTTCACCAGGCCCTGGGTGGGCAGCCAGTGGCTACAAATTGGCTCTGATTTTCAGCCTTTGGTCCCGGGAGGGCGTGGCTTGGATGAGGAAAATGGAGCATGGGGGGACTGAAGCTGTGCCTTGCGAGGGTATCTGCAGGGACCTGACGACACAGCCATACACTCTGCAACTTGGCTTTGCTGCCTCCAGGAGAAGGAAGGGCTGGAGAGAGAGATCCCCAGCTCAGTAGTTGGGGATGGAGCTCTACTTATTCACAGAAGCAGGAGCAGTGCATTCTCCTGACCCCCAGTGCTTGGCTTTCCCTTTCTCCTCGGGCTGTGTCTGTACAGGAGCCTTTAGACATCAGGTTCCTCCCTTTGCCACCTGGCACCTGATGCCCTGTGTTCCTCCCCTGACTACAATGGCCAGTGTAGATATGGTACCATGTGGACGCTGGCATCTGCCATCAATGGGTAGGTTTGAGGGCAGGTCTCAGAAAATTGGATGTAGGACCTAAGAACACAGAGGTCCCCACGAGAGGATGAAAGACAGCTGGGGGACCATGGTACTCATCTGTAAGTGGGGTGCTATCAAATCGTTTAGGTTGTGCAGGTATGGTGGTGTTTGCCTAAATTCTGACACTTGACACACTGAGGCAGGAGAACTGGGAATTTGAGGCTAGCTTAGTCTATATAGTGAGACTTCATCACCAACAGGGGTGATGCTTGTATTTGAATTCCAATGTGATTCTAGGCAGACAATTTTCCTAGGTAGTTTTCTCACCTATGCAGTGGATCTAAGCAATGCGGCAGGGAGTGGAGCCAGGCTGGTCATCTCACTACAGCCAGGAAGCAGGGCCGCATCTCAGCAGCCCCCTAGGACTTCTGACAATCTGTTCTGACCTACCTACACAGTTTTGGTGTTTATCCTGTGGATCTGGTGTCTCGCACATGTGAGATCTTATACTGTGAATGTTGCAACCCTAGCATGCATCACATAATCATAGTTTATAATGTTTCTAAAGACAGTGTCCCAGGAAGCCTGGGCTAGTTTTGAACTAGTCATATAGACAAGGATGAAGCCAAGCTTCTGATATTCCTGCATCTACCTCCTGAGTGCCGAGATCACGGGTGTGCACCCCTGGCCCCTGTTTGTGTAGTGTCTTCGTGTTCTATTGCTGTGAAGAGACACAGTGACCATGGCAACTTCTATAAAGGAAAACTTTTAACTGGGACAGGCTTACAGGTTCAGAGTTTTAATCCATTGTTAACATGGTGGGGACCTTGGTGGTGCACATAGGCAGACATGGTGCCGGAGGAGTAGCTGAGAATTCTACATCTGGATCAGCAGGCAGCAGGAAGAGAGAGACTCTGGGCCTGGCTTGAGCTTTTGTAACCTCAAAAGCCAGTGGCACACTCTTCCTCCATCAAGGCCACACCTGCTTCAACAATGCCATCCCTCCTACTAGTGCCTGTGGGGCCATTTTCATTCAAACCACCACAAGTAGTTTGCAATCTTTATGTGCTGTTCCTCTTGATTATTTTGTTGACAAATTTTAATGATAGCCTTTTTACCAGATACGTATTTATTGGGGAGATGGTGTGTGTGCTGTGGTGAATATGTTGATGTCAGAAGACAACTTGAAGGACTTGGTTCCCTCCATCGTGTGGGCTCTGGGGATCCAACTCAGGTTGTCAGACTTGGTGGCAAATGCCTTTCTCTCCTGAGCCATCTCACCAGCCCTTGTTAACAAATTTTTTCATGTACGCTTATGGTACTGGATCTGTGGTTTGACTACAGACAGTTGTATCCATGACTAATTTTATTTATTTATTTATTTATTTATTTATTTATTTATTTGAAATAAGGTCTTACTCTGAAGAATAGGCTGGCCTGGACCTTTGATGCCCACCCTGACCTTGATCTTGCAGTCCCTTGTCTCAGCCTCCAGAGGGCTGGGGTTACTGTCATGGGCCACTATACCCCCCAGTGTGTACCCTCACCACCACCCCAAGGTCTTAGGCTCCTCTCCTGTGTCTTCCTCCCTCTCCAGGATCTTGCTGGGTAGCCCAGGTTGGCCTCAAACACATGATGAAGCTTACTGAATGTAGGCATTACAAACAAGATGCCCCACTCTGGGCTTGAAACGGGATTTCATTCTTTGTCCAGAATGGCCCCAAACTCAGTTTTCTGCACCAGCCTCTCAGGTAGCTTGAAACATGTACACATCTCAGCATTCAGCTAAGCCTCTCTTAACAGCCAGTGGCTGCCTGGACACCCTATCTCCTCTGTGGCTACGGTGCGGCCATCGTGAAGCACAGGAGAAGCACGCTGCTTTCCAGGTCAGAACTGTTTTCTTTCTAAAAACTGGCGTATAATTCCTGTGCCATTTTGGAGCCTTCATTTCTCTCTGTTTCTTTGTCTTTTAAAACTCGATTGTAGCCCAGGGTAGCTTTAAACTTACTTTATATAGTCTTAAAAGCATTATGCAAGCCAGGTGGTGGTGGCTCACCCCTTTAGTCCCAGCACTCGGGAGGCAGAGGCAGGTGGATCTCTGAGTTCGAGGCCAGCCTGATCTACAGAGTGAATTCCAAGACAGCCAGGGCTACACAGAGAGAACCCTGTCTCAAACTCCCCTTCCCCAAGAAAAAAAGCATTGTAATGCTGGTAGTATGGTTATAGCTGGGAAGTCGGCAGGGCCTTTTATAAGGGATTTTGATGTGGGAGTGTCATATATCAATCTGTTGATTTCATTGGTTAATTAAATAAAGAAACTGCTTGCCCTGATAGGTTAAAACATAGGTGGGAGGAATAAACAGGAGGAAGAGGAAGTGAGGTAAGACTCCTCAGACAGACTCTACAGCTCTGCACTCTGGAGCAGAGACACCAGGCTCTGCCCCAGGCAACTCCGACCCAGGATGGACGTAGGCTAGAATCTTCCTGGTAAGCGCACCTTGGGGTGCTTACACACATTACTAGAAATGGGCTAAATTAATATGTGAGAATTAGCCTAGAAGAGGCTAGATAGAAATGGGCCAAGCAGTCTTTAAATGAATACAGTTTGTGTGTTGTTATTTCAGGCATAAGCTAGCCAGGCGGCTGGGGTGCTGGGGATGCAGCCCCGCTGCTCCTATTTCAACAGGATTTAGGCATACCTCTTCAGGACTATAGAATTCTCTAGGAAAGAAGTTTGTTAGTTTCAATGTCCCTGACAGAATTGTTAGATCTACTGAGGATCCTTGAGTTTCTTGAGTCTCTCTGTGTATATCTCTCCTATGAAGGTAAAATTCTCTTGCTGAAACTGTTCATGTGCTTTCTCTTCTGGAACATAACACAAGTGTGTGCTTCCTTAATGTCCATTATTGTATATCAAAAGGTCAGTTGTTCCTTAAGTGTTTCTCATTTCTTCACCTGCTTCAATTATTTAAAGATGAAGTCATTGTGCTTTGGATTTTTTCTCTGCCTTATCAATTCAGCTGTGGAGTCTTTGCTTTTTACTCTTTTTCTTCTTTGTCTTTATTTGTTGCTTTGGAGGTTGTTTTTCCTTTTTTACATTTCTTTCCTTTGAGGCGGGTCTATGTAGTCCCTGTCAGCCTAGAACTTGCTGTGTAGACCAGGCTGGCCTTGAACTCACAGAGATCTGCCAGCCTTTCCCTCCTGAGTGCTGGGATTAACAGCCTCTGTCCCTGTGCCTGGCTTTGTTTTTCCACTTTTTTTATTTTTTGAATTGAACTCAGAGTTTCTGACCGGTTCTTTATAATTATCTCTTTTCTGAGTTCCCTGTGCTCTAACGGAGTTTTTCCAGTGGTTGTATTTTCTCTTTATTATCTTCTGTTACCTTAAATAGTCTCCAGATCTTTATTTTGGGTTGTTTATCATGCAGCTTACTGCCAGTTGAGGGTAGCAGTCCCGTCAGGGAACAGGGTGAGAATGTTTCTGATTCACTTGAGGGCAGCAGTCCCGTCGGGGAACAGGGAGAGAGTCTCTGATTCACTGGTCACAGTGAGGTCTTTGCAGTGGAGCCGTCGTCGTTCATGAGTGGTCCTCACTTGAACGTTGCAAAGCTGATGTGTTGTCCATTTGCAGGACACCACATGACTGGAGCAGAGTTCATCTTTAAGTGGGAGCTGAGATTCAGGCCATGGACCATAGCAGAAGGCTCAGTTCGATGCCTCCCAGGTCAGTCAGTGCATATGGCACAAGGGTGTCAACAAGGAGAGAACATCATGTACTGGTTGTGTTGAGCTGATTTTATACCCAAATGGTTCCTGTAGATAGTTAGTCCTGTGAGTCAGACATGTGTTTTCTGCAGTTCCTGAAGAGGGTTCTCCTTGTTAACACAGTCCCCAGTTTCTGCTTCGAAGTATATTTTCTTAGATTTGTTAAAATTTCAATCCTGTATAGTACTTAGATCCAGTGGTTCTCAACCTATGGGTTGCGCCCCCTCTGGGGGTTGAATGACCCTTTCATAAGGGCCGCCTAAGACTATTGGAAAACACAGATATTTACAGAACAATTCATAACATTAACAAAATTACAGGTGTGAAGTAACAATGAAACTAATCTTATGGTTGGGGTCAGCACAACATGAAGAACTGTATTAAAGACTCTCAGCATTGGGAAGGTTGAGAACCTCTGACTTAGATGTTTTTATTGCTTAGTCCCTGGACCTAAATTCTCGCTTCCATTCTTTTTAAAATTAAGCAGTTGCTGACATCGGTTTTCAACACTTGCTATGGTCCTGTTTATTCTTTATAGCTGTGGTGGTGATGCCAATAGTAATCACACAGACGACTCTGTGTAACAGCCCTAGCAGTCCTGCCTGGAACTCGCTTTGTACACCTGGCTGGTCTGGAACTCACAGACACCTGGCTGGTCTGGAACTCACAGAGATCCACCTGCTTTTGTCTCTGGAGTGCTGGGATTAAAGGTGTGTATCCCCATGCCCACAGGCAACTCTTAGAGTTTTCTTATATTCATTGTAAGAAGAAAAGTGAACCAAAGATAGGAAGATTATGGTGACATAGAGCTCAGACAGTGTTTCCTGGGAGGAGAGAAAAAGTAGGTGTGAGGTTTTAAGAAGAGTGTAAAAGCTGAACTCGATGTTAAGGAGTTGTTTGTTTATTTTAGTTCAAGTTGGATTTAACTGATTTCCACATTTGGCGCATCATGCTTGCTCTTGGGTGGTGGTATTTTTAATATCATTTTCTGTGTTCATAAAGTGAATGCCAGGGTTTAGACCAGCCATGAAACTCAAGAGAAAGACTTGTGGCAAATAGGAATCGAAAAAGCAGTACATCAAAGCAGTACATCAAATGAAGCCTGTTGATTTAGGTAAAACATTTAGTGTGAGCACTCAAACCACATTTCAGGTCCGAACATAAAGGATGAAAAGTCTTCAGCAATGTGGGACTGCTCCGTAGTGGGCCTGGTGAACTGTGGACGGGAGAAGAGCCGCTGCTCTCTTTTTAAAGAGTTGGAATAAAATGTAGATTGTAAGCATTAGGCTGAAGACAAAGGGACTTGGGCAGAAAGCAAAACAGCTGAGAACGTGCGTGCTGGCTTTTTGTGTTGCCAAACCCAGCACTTTTATAACTGAGGAAGCCCTCTGATGTGCTGACCGTCTTGGTGTCTATAAGAAGATCCAAGAGTCACAGTTATACTCCATATATTTGATGAGGGATATCCTTCAAAATCAGTGTAATCTTACTGACACATCAAGAGGTTTCATATTCAAGATGCCTCTAAGAGATTCATCAATGCTAGAAGTCCCCTTTTAAGGCAGCATTTAATGCCTATTGTGGCACGCGCCATAGCGCCGTCTTGTTGTGGGTGTGTTGGCATGGAGCCTGGGCGCCATTTGTTGTTCCATGTTAAACTTGGTAAACAACTTGTGCGCATGCACGCATGCTCCCCCTAGCACGGGGAGTCTTTCAATCTGGCCATTCGATCTGGCCAATCATAATTTAGCACGATCACTCCATTCTGGCCTGAGCCATTGGGTTGATGACACATCAGGGCTTTGTCTGGCACCGTATATATTCTTCTGCTTCCACGGGACGGGGTCTTCTTGCCTCTCTCAATTCTCAAGTGTAAGTGCTCCAATAAAGTGTGTTCTGAGAAGAATCCTGTTGTGGTCGTCTCTTCTGCTGGTGGAAGCAGCGTGCCGCAGCCTAAAATGTGAAAGACATAAGGAAGCAAACCATTAAATTTAATGGGTGTGGGATAATGTTCTATTACAGATGGAACTGAGAAAATGGTAGGTATACACGAGAAAAGTATTGTAAATATAGTTATTCGAGAAATCTCTTATTAAGTAGCTATACTTCAGAAAACATTGGGATATATGTGCTAGGGAAAGACCCCATGAGTAAAGGGTTGGGAAAAAAATTTCCAATTAAACGGACCTAAGAAACAAGCAGATGTAACTATCCTAACATCTAACAAAATAGACTTCAAACTAAAATTAATCAAAAGAAGGTCATTTCATATTAGTCACAGGAAAAATCCATCAAGAGGAAATCTCAATACTGAACATCTATGCCCCAAATACAAGGGCACCCTCATATGTAAAAGAAACACTTCTAAAGCTTAAATCATACATTAAACCCCACACACTAATAGTGGGAGACTTCAATATTCCCCTCTCACCACTGGATAGGTCTGTCAGACAAAAAATTAACAGAGAAATAAGGGAACTAACAGGTGTTATGACTCAAATGGACTTAACAGACATATATAGAACATTTTATCCAAACATAAAAGAATATACCTTCTTCTCAGCACCTCATGGAAAAACTGACCACATACTCGGTAACCTCAACAGATACAAAAAAAAAAAAAANAAAAAAAAAAAAAAAAAAAAAAAAAAAAAAAAAAAAAAAAAAAAAAGGAAATAACCCCATGTATCTTATTGGATCACCTAAAATTAGAAACCCACAGCAACACTAATACCAGAAAGCCCACAGACATGGAAATTAAACAGTGCTCACCTGAGGCATCAATGTGTCACGGAAGAAATCAAAGACTTCCTAAAATTCAATGAAAATGACCACACAACATACCTAAATTTATGGGACACAATGAAAGCAATGTTACAAAGAAAGTTAGTAACACTAACTGTACTAATTGCCTACATAAAGAAACTGGAAAAAAATCCCACATTAGTAAAAAATTAACAGAACATTTGAAAACTCTAGAACAAAAGAAAGCAAACTCACCCAAGAGGACTAGATGGCAGGAAATAATCAAATTGAGAGTTGAAATCAATAAAATAGAAACAAAGAAAACAGTACAAAGAATAAATGAGACAAAGAGTTGGTTCTTTGAAAAAATCAACAAAATAGACAAACTTTAATCCAAGCTAACCAAAAGCCAGAGAGAGAATATCCAAATTAACAAATCCAAAATGAAAAGGGGACATAAAAACAGACACAAAGGAAATCCAGAGAATCATTAGGTCATATTTTGAAAACCTGTACTCTACATAATTGGAAAATTTAAAGGAAATGGACAACTTTTTTTGATAAATATCACTTACCAAAATTAAATCAAGACCAGATAAGCAAATTAAACAGACCTATAACTGCTGAAGAAATAGAAACAGTCATCAAAAGTCTCCCAACCAAACAAAGCCCAGGACCAGATGGTTTCAGCTCAGAATTCTTCATGACTTTCAAAGAAGAACTAATAGCAATACTCCTCGAATGGTTCCACACAATAGAAAGAGAAGGAACATTGCCAAACTCTTTTCATGAGGGCTACAATTACCTTGATATCCAAACCACATAAAGACATTACTAAGAAAGAGAATTACAGACCAGTCTCACTCATGAACACTGATGCAAAAAATACTAAATAAAATACTGGCAAGTCAAATCCAAGAACGTATTAGAAAAATCATCCACCATTATCAAGTCGACTTCATCCCAGAGATGTAGGGATGGTTCAACATAAGAAAATCTGTCGACATAATCCACCATATAAACAAACTGAAAAATAAAAACCACATGCTAATTTCATTAGATGTTGAAAAAGCCTTCAACAAAATACAACATCCCTTCATGATAAAGGTCTTAGAACAGGGATACCAGGAGCATTCCTAAACAAAAAAAAAAGGCAATATACAGCAAGCCAACAGCCAACATCAAAATAAATGGAGAGAAACTCAAAGCAGTCCCACTGAAATCAAGAGCAAGACAAGGTTGTCCACTCTCTCCATATCTAGCTATAGTTTTTGAGGTCCTAGCTAGAGCAATAAGACAACAAGAGGAAATCAAGGGGATATAAATCAGAAAAGAAGAAGTCAAATTCTCACTATTTACTGATAATATATTAGTTTACATAAGCAACTCCAACAATTCTACCAAGAAACTTCTACAACCCATAAACACTTTCAGTAATGTAACAGGATACAAGATTATCTCAAAAAAAAAAAATTAGTGGCCCTCTTTTACACAGATGATAAATAGGCTGAGAAAGAAATCAGAGAAATATCACCTTCACAATAGCCACAAATAACATAAAATACCTCAGAGTAACTCTAACCAAACAAGTGGAAGACTTGGATGACAAGAACTTTAAATCTTTGAAGAAAGAAATTGAAGAAGAGAGAAAATGGAAAGATCTCCCAGGCTCTTGGGTAAGTAGAATTAACATAAAAATGTCAGTCTTAACAAAAGCAACCTACAGATTGAATGCAATGCCCATCAAAATCTCAGCAAAATTCTTCAAAGACCTTGAAAGAACGGTACTTAACTTCATATGGAAAACCAAAAACCCAGGATAGCCAAAACAATCCTGTACAATAAAGAAACTTCTGGAGGCATCAAAATCCCTGGCTTCAAACTCTACTTCAGAGCTGCCGTACCGAAAACAGCCTGGCATTGGCAGAAAAACATAAAAACAGGAAGTCCAATGGAAATGAACTGAAGACCTAGATACCAATCCACACACTTATGAACACCTGATTTTTGACAAAGCAAAAAATATTACAGGGAAAAAAGAAAGCATATTTAACATCTGTGTCTTCTGGCGTTTGTGTCTTCCGCCTCCTCTTGCTGCATCTCCATGTTCTCTTCCTTCTGCTCTGGCCACACCGTCCTCAGTGCTGAGCTTCTCAGACTTACTACGCTAATTGTTTCCTACGGCCTTTGCCCAGCTACAGGGCTTGATCCAGTCAGTTTGTGTCTACTCAAATTCTCTACCCTGTGATCACTTGCCTCATTTTCCTCCATGTCATTGTGTGGTTCGTGTACACTCTGTAGCTGTCTGAATCTTCCCTGCTAAGGTGTTTCCTTCCCCAAGGCAAGACTTCATTCTCTCACTGGTGCCTAGAACACAGCTGGTACGTGTATGTACTCAGTGACCATTTGCCAAATGAACACACTCATCTCAGCACTCACCCTCAGCTTCCCCCCTTAGTAGGCCATGGCTCTCTCATCCATGAAGTGAGGGGTGTGAACTCAGGGCTGTCAAGGTCTCTGCCAAATGCACATCAAAGTCAGCCTCCAATCCAAGATACTCAAGGGCTGTATATGGAGCACAGCCTTGGCTAAAAGGAGGAAGGACTAGGTGGGATAGAGACATGGCTCTTGGGCTTTTGCCAATGGAAGGGTCAATCTCCCAGCTTTTGGAAAGGCCTTTGATTTCATATAATGTGGGAAGTACCCTCTGTTAGGGAGATGCTTGCTCATATCATGCCTATCTCATGGGATGAGGGCATCAGCTCTGCAGTGGCACCAGGCTGGTCATCTATAGTCTCTTGACTCTCACTATGGTAGCTATGTGACCTCCAGGATTCCCTGTGGGGCAGTTGGTCCCTGCTCAGATGACAGAGAGTCCTTTCCATTGAACCCTCTGCCTGCTTCCCAGTGGTCCCCAGCTAGAACAGCCATCCAGTCGATAGCAAAGCCGAGAGCATTCGTGCGGATGTCGGGAAAGGGCTGAGTACAGCAGTGCTGACTTTACCCATGATGCCTGGCCTTCATTTAAAGTTAGCCTAGCCAGGGCTGGAGTGGCTTAGTGGTAAGAATGCTCGTTGTGGGACTGGAAAGATGTCTCAGGAGTTAAGAGCACTGCCTGCTCTTCCAGAGGTTCTGAGTCAATTCTCAGCCAACCACATGGTGGCTCACAACCATCTGTAATGAGATCTTATGCCCTCTTCTGGCATGAAAGCATGCCTGCATGCAGAATACCATATGTGTGATAAATAAATCTTATTTAAAAAAAAAAAAAAGAATGCTCATTGTGCTGGGTAGTGGTGGCTCACGCCTTTAATCCCAGCACTCGGGAAGCAGAAGCAGGCAGACCTCTATGAGTCTGAGGCCATCCTGGTCTACAGAGCAAGTTCCAGGACAGGTTCCAGAAGTCACACAGAGAAACTCTGTCAAAAAAAAAACAAAAACCAAAAAATAGAAAGAAAAGCTAAAAAAAAAAGGCCGGGTGGTGGTGGCGCACGCCTTTAATCCCAGCACTTGGGAGGCAGAGGCAGGCGGATCTCTGTGAGTTCGAGACCAGCCTGGTCTACAAGAGTTAGTTCCAGGACAGGCTCCAAAACCACAGAGAAACCCTGTCTCGAAGAACCAAAAAAAAAAAAAAAAAAAAAAAGTTAAAAAAAAGAATGCTTGTTGCTCTTGTAGGGGACCCAGATTCAGTTCTCAGTACCCAATTATGGTGTAACCTTCCATAAATCCAATTCCAGAGACTCTGACCCCTCCTCTAACCTTTGAGGGCATGCAGCACTCATATGATGTCCACACACATATACAGACAAAACATTCGTGTGGAAAATATTTTAAAAATTCTTTAAGTGTCTGGGCTGGTAACGATGGCCATACACCTGTAACCCCCAAATTTAGACTTTTGAAGGAACAGTATTGAGTTTGAGCCTATCCTAGGCCACATAGACCTGCATTGCCTCAGAAACAATTTCAGATGTGTAGTAGGAGCTGCGGGCCTCTTCCCACAGCCTGGCTCCTGGTCGCCTGGTCAGTTTATGCCCCGAAATAACAACACACAAATTGTATTCATTTAAACACTGCCTGGCCCATTAGCTCTAGCTTCTTACTGGCTAATTCTTACATCTTGATTTCCCATTTCTATTAATGTGTGTAGCACCCCAAGGTGCGCTTACCGGGAAGATTCTAGCCTACGTCCATCCTGGGCCAGAGCTTCATTGCGTCTGCCCAGAAGAGGGGAGCATGGCGTCTGAGCTGACTTCCTCTTCCTCCCAGCATTCTGTTCTGTTTACTCCACCCACCTATGTTCTAACCTATCAGGGCCAAGCAGTTTCTTTATTAATTAACCAATGACCTTCCTCCATCACAGATGCAGCTCAGTGGAAAAACAGCTGCCTAGAATTGAATGTTTAGGGCTGGGGCCATGGCTCGGCAGTAGGGCGCTTGGCTAATATGTGCGAAGGCTTGTGTTTCATCTGTAGCAGCACTGGAACAATGGGGAGTTAACTGCCCTTTACTGCCAGATTCTTGCACAAACATGCAATGATTATCCAGAATATAATTCCAACCTCCACATGATTACTGTGAGAAAATGACAGTCTAAAAGTCTAAAGTTGTATTGGGGGCATTTAATCCTTAAAGAAGAGGGCAAAGACGGTACTGAGTGAATAGGAATTATATGAATATGGTTAAAAAATATTTTTAGGAGAGCTATGGAAGTTTTTTTTAATACATTGCAGTGTGGTAAATATATCTCAATACATACACAATATATAAGTATCTTAATCAGAGGTGGAACTGTACACTGCAATATGGTAAATATACATATATCAATACAATATATACATATATCAATACATAAAAAATGTTTTAAACAGAGGTAGAAGCATGCATGTATACAGTAGTCAATATAATTTAACTTTGTATCAATATACAAGAATAGATACCAATATAAGCTATGGAAGTTTTGGTGAAAGCAAGAATGAAGTTTTTAATACCCACACAGTAATCATGCCTAAAAATGTACTGAGAGGCAATGTGCACAGTGTGAAGAAAAGGCATGAACTTACCCTGGGCACTGGGCTCTGCCCTTCACCCCAGCAGGGCTTTACCCTGGGCACTGGGCTCTGCCCTTCACCCCAGCAGGGCTCTTTGTGACTGATCTGTCTCGACTGTTGCATTGGTACCAACAGCACAGTCCCCGGTGTGGGCAGGAAGAAGGAATTAACAGGAATTGAGCGCCTAGATGAGTTAAGTTTCAAACGAAATAAGCCTGAACTTCAGAGAGTGTCCCAGCCTGGAGTCTGAATGATTTGCCAGCAGGGCTTGGTGATATGCACTTCACTGACTCTCAGACAATTTCCTAAGTGACAAAGCTGGAAGGGGTAGTGGGTAGTTGTACAACCAAACAAAAAATTTGATTTAAAAGTCACAGTGTTCACTTGACTCTGTGGGAAGGAAGAATTGCCCTTGGAAGAACATGAGAGTTTTCTAGAAGTTATGGAATATTAAATGTTTGCATTCCTTAGTATCCCAGAATGACAGTTTGTTCTGTTTCAAGGTGAGCCTGGTTAAGGAGGTGCAGTGCTCAGGAGTCCATAGTCTCAAGCCTGGGAAGCATAAGAAAGGCTAATAATTCAAGGCCAGCCTCTAATTGGGCTACAGTGATAGCTGCAGGTTGTCCTGAGCAGGAAGGTCTGCCTTCTGGCTCCATTTCCCTAGGCTTTGTGCCACCTGCTGTTACTCAGAGTCTGAGGGGGTGAGAAACAAAACCCAGTCTGGCCCAGCGCTAAGGTGAGGAATGTCCAGTGTTTGTCTCTGAACAAACCATCATGTGATCTGTCTTCAGGTTCATCTTGATCAAGAGGCTCTAATGCCACTTCTGTTTCCTGGTGACATGCTGCTCCCTTGAGAACCACAGTGAGAACACTGGGTGTCCTAGAACTGGAAATGGTGAGTCTGTGACACATCTCTGGCAAGGAACACAGGCCTGATCGGTCTGTGGGCTTCTTATTTACATTACACCAAAGATATAATTGACATCGTGGTTTAATGAATAAACACATTTTGCAAATCGGTTTTCTTTGGGTGGGACCCCTGGTAGGTAACCCCATGCTCCAGGGGATGGCCCCACCTCCATGCACACTGGGATTCAGTGGGTTATTTAAGGAAAAGAAGGAAGTGAAGTTGGGATGGAGTGTTCCAGGGAGAAAAAGGGGTGGGCTGGGTGTGGATAAATAAAATGCATTGTCTAGACTGGTGGTGGACACCTTTAATCCCAGCACTTGGAAGGCAGAGACAGGCAGATCTCAGTGAGTTCAAGGCCATCCTGGTTTACAAAGCAAATTCTAGGACAGCCAGGACTGTTAAACAGTTGAACAGAGAAACTCTGTCTCCAAAACCAAAAAGAAAACCAAAAACAAACAAACAAAAAACTCATTGTCTTCATCTATGAAATTTTTGAAGAATTAAAAATGTTTTAAAACTTAGGTAGAAAAATATATGATGGTTTATATACTTTTCTTGTCCATGAAAAACAAATCTCTAACTTCACAGAGGAGACACCAAGTGACTGACCTTGGCTTGGAAACACAGGTTGTTTGTAGGGAGGCCACTTGTTTGTTCCTGACTGCCCAGACCTGAAATAATCACACGAAACTGTATAAATTACAACACTGCTTGGCCTATTAGCTTACACATATTTCTAGCTCATATATCTTAAATTAACCCATTTCTATTAATTTGTGTATCGCTACATAGCTGTGGCTCACCAGCAAGTTTCTGTCCTGCGTCTGTCTCTGGAGGAGCTATGTGGCTTCTCACTGACTCTGCCTCCTTTCTCCCAGCATTCAGTTTAGTTTTCCCACCTAGTTCTACTCTGCCCTATCAACAGGCCAAGGCAGTTTCTTTATTCATTAAAAAGCCTAGTCCAGAGCACATATGTGTATGCCTTCTCAGCTGGTGAATCCCTGGAACCTCCTCTGCTTTTGCCATCCCCAGTCCTTAGACCTAGCCTTGCCACACAGCCTGTCTGCCAGGCTCACCTGGTGAATGCCTGTCTTCATCAGGGTTTCTACTGCTGTGCTGAAAAAACATGACCAAGGCAACCTGGAGGAAAAGGGTTTATTTCAGCTTACATGACCTGATCACAGCGTTATGCCCAAATTATGGAGTCTCCCCCAAACTACCTAGGAGACCAAGTCCAGTATGGGAAAGCAAAGAGCCTTTATTCTTTTTATTCTTTTTTTTTTTTTGGTTTTTCAAGACAGGGTTTCTCTGTAGCTTTGGAGCCTGTCCTGGAACTAGCTCTTGTAGACCAGGCTGGCCTCGAACTAGCTCTTGTAAGACCAGGCTGGCCTCGAACTCACAGAGATCCACCTGCCTCTGCCCCCGAGTGCTGGGATTAAAGGCATGCACCACCGCCACCTGACATCAAAACCAACTTAAAAACCAGTGACTTCCATGGCCCTCAGCAGCGGTGCCAATGGCCTCCATTTGAGGCCATGGTGACATGCAGACCCAGATGACTGCCAAGGACCATGCCTGGGTCTGTGGTCCTTTCACATCTTGGGTCTATGTCCCATGTTGCCACCAGGCCCACACAGAGCCCCAAGGTTGGAGTCTGGGGTCCATGCTCCAGCAGGGGCCATATAGATCTGGGTGGCCTGTGCTGCCACCTCGGGCCTTGGTGTCATCTGGGCCCCAGCTGCTTGCTGAGGGCCATGTGTAGGTTCTGAGGTCCAGCTGCAGCTGGGGTCTGTGCTGATGTCTGTGGCCTGTGTCATCTCAGAGGATTATGAGAACCATGCATGATGAAATCAGAGGCCATGCTGAGCCAGCCCCACCCTCTGCTGGCCCTGGGAAAGCTGGGAGAGATGGCTCCATCCCTCACCACAGGCGAGGGAGAACCGACCCTGCTGGCATGAGTGTAGATCCGACTCTCCCCCTCATCTAAGGAAGGCTGCCCCAGTGGCCTGACTGACCAGCTCAGCTACCACCCAGGTCATAGCCCTGAGTTGGCACACCCTACCGGGTTCTAGAGTTTGTGAAGGAACTGGCCCTGTAGATCCGCAGCATCTCCATGACTGGGGGCAGCCACAGGATATCCCAGAGGAGTTCCAGTGAGGATCCAGTGAGGATGGTGTGTTGAATGGCACAGGTTGAAGAAACCCAGGCTAACTCCAAGATAAACAAATTATATTTTCTTATTATAAGTGGAAAACTCATGAAACAGGAACCAGAAGTCCAACCTCAGTTGTGTAGCATAGAAACCACAGAGAAAGAAAGAGAGAGAGAAAGCCCTGGGCACCAGCAGCTTTTCTTTAGGTACCAAAAAGGTCACTCCCCTAACCTGGTCCAACCTCTTGAAAATCAGTGACTGACAGAGATTCCCCATCACTTCCCCCTTTTGTATAAATAAGAGAGTTTTAAACCTAATACAAAAGCCGGGCAGTGGTGGCGCACGCCTTTAATCCCAGCACTTGGGAGGCAGAGGCAGGCGGATCTCTGTGAGTTCGAGGCCAGCCTGGTCTACAAGAGCTAGTTCCAGGACAGGCACCAAAAACTACAGAGGAACCCTGTCTCGAAAAAATCCTAAATAAATAAATAATTATTTTTAATTAATTAATTAATTAATTTATTAAAAATTTCTGTCTCTTCCCCGCCACCGCCTCCCATTTCCCCCCACCCCCAACCAAATCCCCCTCCCTCGTCAGCCCAAAGAGCAATCAGGGTTCCCTGCCCTATGGGAAGTCCAAGGACCACCCACCTCCATCCAGGTCTAGTAAGGTGAGCATCCAAACTGCCTAGGCTCCCACAAAGCCAGTACGTGCAGTTGGATCAAAAATAATCAACTTTATATGGAAAAACAAAAAACCCAGGATAGCCAAAACAATCTTATACAATAAAGGAACGTCTGGAGGCATTACCACCCCTGACTTCAAACTCTATTACAGAGCTACAGTATTGAAAACAGCTTGGTATTGGCATAAAAACAGAGAAGTCGACCAATGGAATCGAATAGAAGACCCTGACTTTAACCCACAAACCTATGAACACCTGATTTTCGATAAAGGAGCTAAAAGTATACAGTGGAAAAAAGAGAGCATCTTCAACAAATGGTGCTGGCAAAACTGGATGTCAACCTGTAGAAGAATGAAAATAGACCCCTATCTATCACCATGCACAAAACTCAAGTCCAAAGAAGTTATTTTGAAATGATTCTTTGGTATACATACAATTTAATTAAAGATGAAGACAAGGTGCATACTGAGCCGTGAAAGGCTTCTGTTTCTAACAATACAATTGAGATATATACTAGTTTGATGCTTAGATGAAGAATATGGAAATGTTAAATCTTTCTATAATTAAGCCGTCATGTCTCTGTGGGAGCGGAAAATGTATTCACAATAAAAGCAGCATAGTTTAAAACATGCCTGTGAGCTGGAGCTTTTCTGGTCGTTTCCCCAGGAGGCGTGTGGTGGAGTCACAGCAGGAAGCTGTGAGTGCTCGGACTGCAGCTACCCGAAGTCAAGGTGCAGCACCGGTGAGCGCTGCCACACTCCTCTTGGGTCTATGCACACTTGATTCAGAATTAATTTTTGGTCAACACATATTCAGGAAACCTTAAGTACTGACAAATTTTCCCCAACATCTACACCAGTGTACATGAGTCCATGTGGACTCCACAGTTGCTCCAGGCTCTCGGAATTGAACTCACGGCCCTGCCATCCGCATGCACTATACCACAGCGGTGTGCTCCCAGCCCCAACATTTGCCTTTGCATTGTTTTGTTCATCCTTTACAGATTTAATGTCATTTTTATGTGGTTACATGTATCTATGTCTGTCTTTTGCTCATAATAATACAGACCATGTGTATATATGTATTCCTCTATGAATCTGTGTTTCTGTTGTGATTCCTTAGAAAAGTTTCTGGTCATATTTTTTTGAATCACAAGATTAACACATAGATAAGACTTTTGCGTTGATTTTTTCCTTCTATCATAATACAGAATTCAAAACCGGCTACATTTCTATAAGACACTGATAAGACATATACACATGAAACAATCAGTTCCCGTTTTCTGTCCCTAAGGCTGAGCACACCTTGGATTGAAGACACATTTGTCATTCCAGGTGTTGGTGTCATTTGAGGACGTAGCCGTGGACTTCACCCGGGAGGAGTGGCAGGACCTGGATGCTGCCCAGAGGACCCTCTACAGGGAAGTGATGCTGGAGACCTACAGCAGCCTGGTGTCCGTGGGTGAGTCAGACTCCCGTGATTCTCAGAGGTACCAGTTGTAGAATTGTTGCTTGCTTTTAATGCTAATCTGATGTTGTACATTTTAATTGGCGTGGCAGTGATACGCATGGATGAAGAACAGGGTAGCTCTGTACCGCACATCGTGTATGATGATCTGGTTGGTGATAACTGATAGTGTACCAGCCCTGGATTCGCTTGTTTGTATGGGGAGCATTTACATATCTCTGATGTCATTTTAGAATATTTAGTTGGCGCCGTATATATGTGTATAATAGTAATAGCATTGCAGAACTTACCTAGGCCTCCCTTCCTGCTATATCCTGCTAATGCTTACCTTCTTCCCCTCCCCCGTGCCCTGTGTCTTGCCCTTGCTCTATAGTTCCTATTGTTTTTCTGTCTGTTTGAGGCCACCTTTCGTTTGCAAGTTTGATGAGAACACAGAGGACTTCTCATTTTGTGCCTCACTCATTTCATCTACGCACCGTAACTTTCCTGGAGAGACTTAGGAAAAATGTGTTTGCTCCAAATACGAATGGAGTTTCTTACCCAAAGAAAGATTTCATCAGTGCTTGGTGAATATATGAGTTTATTGGGTTTATTTAGTGAGTAAATGTGACTCAGATATACAAAAAACAGAAGCAGAAAAAGCCTCCAACCTTAGTTAGTTTTTACTTACAGTTTTACCAACCTACAAGTGGGCAAAAGTGTGCCCAGGCTGGAATCTCAGCAGAGAAATACATGATAGTCTCGTAAGGGGATGCTACCAATCCTGGTCCCCTCCATAACACTACGTATCTTTGTTCATTTCATTGCCGTGGCTTTGTGCCAAGATCATCCTGTGTTTTAAGATGGTGCCAGTCTTTTGAAGCCCAGAATAACAGCCATACTACAGATAACAGAACGGCCTGCTTGCCTGCCACTGTGACTGAGGTTGTTTTAAATCTATAATTTAGTGGTAAGGCATTTTGGGAAAATTTCTTTCAAATTTACTTGTAAACGTATTTGTATATCATGTTTGGGAAGTATCAATTTAGACTGCTTGTCCGGATTTAATGAGATCTTTTACTTTTCTGTGTTTAGTGAATGAGATCCTTTATATGGTCTAGAAATTAATCACTTGCTGAATAAATAATTTTATAGTATTTTCTCATTTTAGATATGACATTTAGTCTAATATAATCTCATTTGTTGGTTTTGCTTCTGTTGACTGGATTGGTATATATTAAAAGACTCCATCTGCATCATTGTTCCGAGTTTTAGAGTTCCAGACCTTACATGTAATTCTATGATCCATTTGTAATTGATTTCTCTATATGGTATGAAAAGAGTCTAGTCTTTGTTTGTTTGTTTGTTCTCAAGACAGTGGTTCCTTTCTATAGCATGTAAATATCCAGGTTTCGCAGAATAATTGATTCATGAGAACGTACTTCTTTTCTGAATGTAAGTTCTGAAGCCTCTGTTAAGTGAGAAGCTCCTTAGCCTTCTGATGCCATGGGGGAGGGAGGATGTGTTTTAGCTCTAGGTTTACGTGGATCCTTTGTTGAGAGAGTCTTGTGGCAGGGAACACATTGCAGAGCAAGGCTTCTCAGCTCAGTTTCAGTAGGAGGAAAGGTAGGGGATGACACCTAAGTACCCCTGCAAAGTGTATCCAGTGAGCTTGTCCCCTGCAAAGTGTATCCAGTGAGCTTGTCCCCTGCACAGTGTATCCAGTGAGCTTGTCCCCTGCAAACTGTGTCCAGTGAGCTTGTCCCCTGCAAAGTGTATCCAGTGAGCTTGTCCCCTGCAAAGTGTGTCCAGCGAGCTCCTTTCCTTCTCCCGAACTTTACCTGCTGACTGCATAGCAGACCGCTGACCAGCGCCTGCCCCCCTGGTCTCTGGAGTGCATTTTTGATCCATACTAAGTATGCATGGATCTTGTTTTGTTTTGTTTTATTCTTAACTGTGGACAGAGTGTTTTGTGCCCATTCATTTCTATATGGAAGTACTGTGTCTCTGGCATGAGGTTCCCTTGGTCGTTTCTGTAGTAGTTATGTTCCTCGTCTTTATTTGTTGGAGATAACAGATCTGTCATTTGGATCTTGTGTCTTTGTCTGGATTCGAAGTCATTGTAATAGCTAGTACTGGAAACTTGGCTGTTCCTGTAATAGGTGCTCATTTATAAGCAACTGTAGGCTTCCTTCCTTGTGTTTTTGGGATTCTCTTTGTCTTGGAGTTCTTCTAGTTTGGATGTAAGTGATTTGTTGGTCCAAATCTTTTAGGTTCTATTGGACATGCCTGTCTATGTTTTTATAACCATTCTCTTTTCTTCTGGAACACAAATAATGTGAATGTTTGTTTTCTTAAAAGGACCATGTTGCTGGGTGGTGGTGGTAGTGCACGCCTTTAATTCCAGCACTTGAAAGGCAGAGCAGGCGTACCTCTGGGAGTTTGAGGCCAGCCTGGTCTACAAAGCAAGTTCTAGGACAGCCAGGACTGTTATACAGAGAAACCCTGTCTGGAAAAAGGAAAAAAAAAAAAAGGAACTATGTTCTCATATATATTCTTTTATTTTTAAAAATTTTGTGTGTATGGATATTTTGCCTTTATTATGTCTGTGCACCACTTGTGCGCCTGGTGTCCTTGAAGGCCAGAAGAGGGCCTTAGATGCGTTGGAGCTGGAGCTTTAGATGGTTGTGATCAGGGCAGCATGTCCTCGTAACTACTGAGCAGACTCTCTAGACCCTGTCTTCTCTTCTTCCCAATTCTTTTTTTTTTTTTTATTGTTTTTGTTTTTGTTTTTCGAGACAGGGTTTCTCTGTGGCTTTGGAGCCTGTCCTGGAACTAGCTCTGTAGACCAGGCTGGTCTCGAACTCACAGAGATCCGCCTGCCTCTGCCTCCGGAGTGCTGGGATTAAAGGTGTGCGCCACCATCGCCCGGCACCAGCTGTGTGTGTTTTTTTTCTTTGATCAGTTGAGCTCTTCCCCTACAAATCTTCTGGGTGGTTCTTTCTTTATGACTACTTTTCTTTTTTAATTTACCCTTTATAACAGACAAATTGTCTATTGAGTTCCCTTAAGCCAGCGCTTTTACATGACTGCTGGGGACTGAACTTGGGTCCTCTTCCATTACAGGGGCTTTACCCACTGTTCCACCATCCATCTCCCCTGGGAGGTTTCTTAAAATCCTTAAGTGCCACTTGGGGACAACACTTCCGTCAGTGGAGAGTGTGAGTGAAAACCTACTTTAATAAAAATGTGTAAATCACTGAGAGCTAGGGCTGTAGGTCGGTTGACAGTGACTTTCCTACCTAGTGTTAGGCCGCAGGTTTAGTCTCCGGTCCACCCAGAAAATAAATAAATAAAAAGGAAGGAAGGAAGGAAGGAAGGAAGGAAGGAAGGAAGGAAGGAAGGAAGGAAGGAAGGAAGGAAGGAAGACCTTCTGATCGCCTCCCATCAGTGGCCTTGATTAGCACTGTGTCACAACCCTGCGTTGTTTCTCACTCACAGGGCACTGCGTGACCAAACCTGAGTTGATCTTGAACTTAGAGCATGGACTTGGGCCGTGGAGCACGGCAGATGCCTCAGTCTGGAGCCTCTCAGGTCAGTGAATGAACAAGGCAAGAGAGGGCGGGACACAGAGGCCGCCATACTGTTCATCTTGGGCCGTTTTCAACAAGGTCCGTCTAAACCCAGTCCTGAGGACAGCTCGCCTCCTGGACCAGACACCTGTTCTATCCGGTTTCCCAACATTCTGTGTTAAACTACCAGTTTCCTGATGTTGAGGAATGGCTTTTTTTGTTGTTCTGCTCTTCAGAACCATCCAGCTGCTTAACCTGGGTCTTCAATTGTGCGTGTTCCCTTCCCTTTGCCACCGTATGTTTTGTTAGGCATTTATGGACATTATTTCAATACCAGCTTTTGACAAGTGCTTGTCTTTGCAGTTATCCTGATCCTTAATCACACACAAAGGCTTCTCCTCTTAAAATACTTCCATATAGTGGGAGAAAAGTGGAGCAAGGGACATGTGTTACGGTGAGGGAGGCAGCACAGAGAATGTTTCTCAGGCGCGGAGGGAGAACACAGGGCTTTAGAGGGGGAAATAGTAAAGAATTTTTCGTTTATTTCAGTTTTTACTGTGTGATGACTATTTTCCACATTTGCCATGAAGTACTCATGAGGATTTAAATTTAAGACTAGCTAGGGAACCTGACTAGAAAGTACCAGCCAAACCAGAGTCTAGTTTGTGCTTGTGCCCTGTGGACAGAGGACATCAGAAGTCACAGGGTTCAGCTCTAAAGCCGAGGCAGGCTCAGATGAGTAGTGGATGAGGGAGAGTCCCAAGGGAGGGAGGGAGGGAGAGAGGAAGGGAGAGTCCCGAGGGAGGGAGGGAGGGAGAGAGAGGAAGAAGAAGGAGGAGGAGGAGGAAGAGGAGAAGGAAGAGGAGAAGGAAGAGGAGGAGGAGAGAGAGAGAGAGTGCGAGCGAGCTCGGTCAGTAAAGTGCTTGCCTTCAAAGGCTGCAGACTTGAATTTCTGTACACAACTACAAAAATTAAGACATGGTTTGGGGGCCCCCTGGTTGTAAACTTGGTGCTTCGGAGTTAGAGACAGGCAGATCCCCAGGCTTGATGGCCAGCCAGTCTCATAAATTGCTGAACCTCAGGTCCCAGTGAGAGATATTGTCTCAAACAAGGAAGCAATACCCGAGATTCACCCTCTGAGTTCCCCGTGTGTGTGCACATGTTCATAAACACAAACACACTGCGTGTGCACTATATGAGCCTGCATGTACAAGGTCATTTTAACTCTTTTGTATGGAAAATTTGGCTTCTTGGATAAGAAATTCAGCAGAAGGGCGGTGGTGGCACACACCTTTAATCCCAGCACTCGGAAGGCAGAGGCAGGTGGATCTCTGTGAGTTCGAGGACAGCCTGGTCTACAAGAGCTAGTTCCAGGACAGGAACCAAAAAGCTACAAAGAAACCCTGTCTCGAAAAACCAAAAAAAAAAAAAAAGAAAGAAATTCAGCAGAGTGATTCTGAAAAAGGATACAATCTCAGATCTTGGAAGAGAAAAGCTAAATTAAAAACAGAAACAAAAAACACATTTTTGGAAAGTACACAATGGGGAAGAAATAATCCCAGTGATGTGTTTAACAACAACATTGAGCAAGTGTAACAATTGCATAGTAATAAGGGGAAGAAAACAGGACGATTGTCAGCACTTCTAGACGGAAGAGCTCTTGGGGAGTTTTATGAGGTATCTAATCTGTGAATCTTTTATTAAACAGTGAATTGAGAGTAAGGTCAACACAAAACATACTGCATGAAATTAATGTATAATATTGTACAAGTCTTGGCTAAGAGACAGGTGTCCACATATACGGCATTTACAACTACAAGTTGCTAGACTCTGAGAATACTTCCTCAGAGGTTGTTACAGTTAAGACGCCCAGAGGACAGAATATGGGCAGAGTATTGAAAAGTATAAGCAAAATGTGTGATTAGTTTGTTTGTGTTTGGTTTGGTTTTGAGACAGGATCTCACTACATAGATCTGGCTGGCCTTGAACTCGCAGAGATCTCCAGAATGCTGGCATTAAACACGTGTGCCACCACACCCAGTAGTTCCTTTTGAATATAAGTCTACTATCATAGCTGATTGATTAACAGAAACTCTGAATTCCAGAAAGTATAGTCTTTGGTGTTTTAAACCCTGAAAATATAAACTGCCAATCAAGATTATTCCATGAAGCAAAGTCTAAAATCAGATAATGTTATGAATTCACTCCATGAATACTAAGTCACTATTACAGAAGATACTTAAAGCAAAGTAACAACATTCTTTTTGTAAAGGCAAGCCACAGCAACATTTCTCATAAAAACAGTCATTCCCACAAAACCTCATGGAAGATCCTGCTGTTCTTTATCAAAGCAAAGTATACTGTCTGAAACAAAGTAGCAATCTTCACCCTAATGTGGTATACTAGGGAGAGAGAATGTTTATAACCTCCATCCTAAAGGTAGCTAGTAGAAGAGGGTTTCCTGTTTCACAGATGAAGGAGCATGGCAGGATACATTTAGAAACCAGAGAAACAGGACAGGTAGAATAACGAGAGGGAACATCACTATAAAGACACCTAGAGCTGAGAAACGGGTTGGGTGTTTATTGCCATGTATTTCAACAGAGCAGCAATGCACCAGAGAGCCAGGACTTAACACTGCAGTATTTCTCAGGGTATTGTTTTATTCTAATTCATTAACGACTAGGATGTGTACAGTTATACGATGATACTATAAAAGTTCAAATGCATATTGGGCAGTAGTGGCGCACACCTTTACTCCTGACACTTGGGAGGCAGAGACAGGCAGATTTTGTGTTCAAATTATATAAAGCTTGTGCCCAATTCATAGTAGTTGAAATTTTTCCTATTTTCAGGTATCAACAAAATGAGTAGCCTGGTCGAGACCAGCCAGAAAAATGGAGACAGACATTTCTGGCGAATTGAAATCGACAGCAACGCTTCAAACGAAGAACTCATTGAAGTAGGTAAAGCTGCTGTCAGCCCAAACTGTGCCCTGACTGACTTCATTTTCTCTGCCAGCTGAAGAATAGAAAGGCAAAAACAGGAAAGGCAGGCAGTATTGTAGGTGCCACAGCTAGCCTAGCCTCAAGGGAACTATCAGACGGAGCAGGCAGATCATCCTGGAGAAAGAAAACACACACCGAGGCACACAGAGAAAGACCTCCACAGAGCCAAGGGCCCCAGGAGTCTAAAACCAGTTTCTTATTAAGGACATGGGGGTTTCAAGGGTATTTGAGTGCTCGAGGGGTCTTCACCCCTAATTTAGGGTTGGTCCATCTGAACAAAGAGAGAGTGGCTAACAGGCCCTTAACTTTGGTGGGAACATGTACTGACCCACCCTCGCACTGATTGGAGACCCATCGCCATGGTGCCCTTCTGGCGGCAGCAGAAGGCTACCAGGCTTTTCTTTTAAGCTGCCAGGCTTTTATCTCAGGGCAGGAAAGTGAGGAAGAAGCTGCTATCGCAGAAGTCCACCTTCTTTATTACCTAGTTATGGCCCCTCTTCCTATCTGGCCACCCACCAGGGACCTAACGCCATGTCCCTCAAAACCATATTCCAACTTTGAACATGGAAAGTAGAAAATGCTTTAGGAATGTTTCCGTGGGAACTTAATCTATGGCAGGATGAACGTCTCAGTAGTGAACCTGGTGAGATGTGGGCTACGAAAGAATCTGACCACTTTACAGTAATTGAAACCCTCCAGTTACCCTGTGCTTCTGGGTAACAAACAGTTAATCATGTCATTTTGATTGAAGATAAACCTACAAAGGCAGGGTCGGTAACACAAAAGTTTTCATTTGTGGAGGAGCTCTAGTAAGCTCAGTGAATCTAGGAAATCCTGTGATAAGGCGCGACCTATTCAAGTCATAGCACGGACTAGGATGCAAAATTCTAATAGGATGTATCTGAGACAGCATTCTTTGACTAAATTCATCTAGTAAATGAAGTAAAATAGACAGCAGAGAGATTATTTCAATGTGTGGTTGTGAGAAGTGTCATTAAGAAATCATGATAAGCAAAACAAAATAAATTCTATAGGACTCCCCCTGTGAATATGAGGAATTTAACAAACCCTTCTGTCTTCAGGCAGAACTAAAGATCCACGAGGAAATCCACCAAGGAACAAAGCCCTATGAATGTGAAGTGTGTTTGGAAGCGTTGTACCTGAAGTCAGACTGTAGCAGAGATCAGAGGTATCACACGTGTGAGAATCCGTACGAATGTAAGGCGTGCAGACAAGCTCTCTATGCTAAGTCTGCCTTCAATCAGTGCCAGAGGCTCGAGAAGGGCGACAAGCCGCATGCATGCATGGAATGTGGGAAAACATTCTACTGCAAGTCCCACCTGACCGTCCACCAGAGGACGCACACGGGCGAGAAGCCCTAAGAATGAAAAGACTGCAGTAAAGCTTTCTACAGCAAGTCACAGCTCAACGTCCACCTGAGAATCCACACAGGGGAGAAGCCCTACGAATGTAAAGACTGTAGGAAAGCCTTCTACCGCAACTCCGACCTCACCGTCCACCAGAGGACACACACGGGCGAGAAGCCCTATGCATGCAAAGTCTGCAATAAAGCCTTCTACTGCAATTCCCAGCTCACTGTCCATCACAGGACGCACACGGGCGAGAAGCCCTACGAATGTCACGTATGTACAAAAGCCTTCTACTGCAAGTCCCAGCTCGCTGTCCATCACAGGACGCACACCGGCGAGAAGCCCTACGCATGTAAAGACTGCAGGAAGGTCTTCCAGTGCAGGTCGGACCTCACTCGACACTGGAGGACGCACACTGGCGAGAGGCCGTACGAGTGTAACGAGTGTAGGAAAGCCTTCTATCGCAAGTCTGACCTGACTGTCCATCAGAGGACGCACACAGGCGAGAAGCCCTACGCATGTAAAGAATGCAGGAAAGCCTTCTACTGCAATTCCCAGCTCACTGTCCATCAGAGATCCCACACGGGTGAGAAGCCGTATGAATGTAAAGACTGCGGGAAAGCCTTCCAGTGCAAGTATGAACTCACGCGACATCAGAGAACACACACAGGTGAGAAACCGTATGTGTGTCTAGAATGCAAGAAGGCTTTCTACACCAAATCAGACCTCACTCGGCATCTGAAAACGCACGCAGGTGACAAACCCTGAGTGCAGAGGGCACAGTAAAGCCCGACACAGCCAGTCAGTCTTGAGGTGGCATCAGAGGACACATATAAAACTATTGCCATAAAATTAGCCCTCAATATCAGAGTTCATACAGACGCAAAAGTACCCATGAAAATAAAGTAAGAAAGCTGTCTGCTGTGGCTCATATTCATGTACAGACCAATACATTTAGGGAGCACGAGCAGACTTTGTGTGGTCAGATCCATGGGTCATCATGTAGCATACACAGGCGAAACGGCCCTTTGAATATAAAAAACCCTAGAACATGTTTTTAAACCATAAGTGCATTCAGTGGGCAGAAAAGCTCATCCAGGTAGACTTTATCAATATGTCTATCACAGAAAACTTAGATACCTAAGTCAGACCTCAGTCTACATCAGAAACCTCATAAAGATGAAGTTGTGCACAGCAAGTGATTTAGCCAGATATGGGTGTTTATCCTGACCAATGTGGGTGATCTTGGCAGAGACACATAGGGACTTGATATATACCAGCATAGCAAGACACCAGACCAAAAGATGGGGAAACCCAGGTGAGTGGCGCACATCTTTAATCCTAGCACTCAGGAGGCAGTGTCATGTGACCGCTGACTTTGAGGCTAACCTGGCCAACATAGCGTGTTCTGGGCCGACTAGGGCTATACAGTGAAAGCCTGCCACAAACGTGAGAAAATCTTGCGTGTCAGTAGATGCCGCATTGTTGTTAAACCGTAAGAAAGTAAAGGAAGTCAGAAACCTTAATACTTGGAACTCAGCTGACATCAGAACACAACAAAAGGATGATACAGCATCAGAGTGTTTACAGGCGCGTAGGTGCCCCATTTCTCCTGGCCTTGCGTCAGTAGTCTCCGTATTCGTCTGCATACACACGCGCTAGAAACCCATCACCACAGACGCTAGGGGCTGCGCTCACATGGTAGCAGGCACGGCGCCAGTTGTGAGAATGGGAACATGTCTGCACTTTTAAATTAGTAGAACTGGGATGGGGCTCAGTCACAGTGCCCTTGGGAAGCACATGCATGCCCTCTCTGTTTGTATCTGAAGCTTCTCACATGTCACCCAGATTTGCAGCATCCGTGCTCATGAAACAGTTGTTAGAGAGTATAAGCAGTTGTGAAGAGGTTGTAGCAAACTGATCATACGTTATTTTGAGCACCGTTTTCAGCCTGAGCCGTTCTCATAGTCATGGTAATACTGCTTTGTGCCCTTGAGAGCTTGGATTAGAGGAATGGGCTTCCATGCAACCATATATTTCTTTAATATGTGAAATTTTTTCAGTAAAATTTCAACATTTTTATACATAAATTTGGGGGAGAAAATTTCAGTTTATGTAACTTGCATGTTAATTTCCAGATGGAATTGTTTGAAATGGTATTGGAAATTAAGCATTCAACTGTATACTACCAAATAAACGCAATGGTATTTCCAGCTTTTTATTAAAAAGCTTTTTATTAAAAGACTTTTTATTAAAGTCTATTAAGCTTTTTCTTTGGGCATTTATATGTTCTCATAACTAGAGTTTGGTAGTGGTTAATGAATGTAGTAGACAAAGACCAACAATGCTGATAAAGATTTAGTAATAAACAATTACTGCTCACAACAGAAATTTTTTCTGTATGTTAGTATTTTGTGTTAATGCTTTGCCTGTAGAATACTCAGCATGATGGTATAGGAAATACATATACTTTGTATAAGAAATATTAGTGGAAGAAAATGGAAGTGGTAGGATACATGTCTTTGTATGTATGTAGTCTTGATGGGAATCTTCATTATACATTGGATAGATGGGTGGATGGATAGGTAGATAGATAGATAGATAGATAGATAGATAGATAGATAGATAGATAATAGATTGATTGATAGCAGATAGATAGATGATAGGTAGATAGATGATAGATTGATTGATAGATGATAGATGGATAGATAGAAGATAGATAGATGATAGATAGGTAGATAGATGATAGATAGATAGATAGATAAATAGATAGATAATAGATAGGTAGATAGATGATAGATAGATAGAGAATAGATAGGTAGATAGATGATAGATGATAGATAGATAGATAATAGATAGATAGATGATAGATAGATAGATAGATGATAGATAGGTAGATAGATGATAGATAATAGATAGATAGATAGATAGATAGATAGATAGATAGATAGATAGATAGATATTGTGATTTACACTACTCATTGTCTTTCTGTCACTGTGACTAAGTCTCAGCAGAAAAAAATTAAGGATTGAAGTAGTTGTTTTGGGTTGTGGCTTCAAAGGATTTTGTTAATGGCCACTCTGCCAAAGACCAGTGTGAAGAACATTTGGTGACAGGTGGTTATGGTAATGACAGGGAATGTGCCAAGGAAGAGACCGTATACAGTGTTACATCTCCCAAAGCATGACCCTAATGACTTAATTCAACTAACACCTCCAAAACCAAGTCCACATTTGAGTTCAAGTGTGTGGGAGAAATTTCATTCCAAAGCCAAAATGCACTAAAAATATCCAACTTTAATAAAACTCCATTCCACTCATAAATCCTTTCCTGCTCTCTCTCTGGTAGAAAACAAACAGGTATCTTTAAAAATGAAAAAAAAAAATATAAAACAAGCCTGAATAGGAGAACAAATGAGCATAAGAACAGCCAAAGAAAGAGCACATGAAACACATACAGATGAGAGATTCACACATCGGGACACGCCAGAATCCCCTAACCCACAAAAACTACTGTAGGCGATTGTCCCCAGCTGTGGGCGGAGTTAAAGTGGCTGACATCAGCAGTTCTCATTGTCCTGGTGGATGGAATGCCAACCGCAGTCACCCCACTTCGTTCCTCATTCCTGTGGGTGTAAGTAGGGCAAAGACAATGTTCCAAATACGTCTACCCAATATTTTTTTTCCTGAAGACTATATACGTTTCCTTCCCTAGTGTAGACCTCTCAGGGTGAACAAAAGGAGTGAAATGTTGATGTAAAATTTTTAAAACTGGTGTATTCTTCCCCTAAGTGAAATTGTATGGGATGCATATGTATGTATATATGTGACATAATCCCTAATATTTCTAAAGATACATATATTTTTAATAAGATGTTATTAAATGTGTAATTAGATGTGACAACTTAGTTGAGGTGCATTGGACCTTAAATGTTACATGAAAACCACGTGCAGCAATGATGATGACAATTGTGATTTAGAAAATCACTCTTATTTCTGGAGGCTGGAGGGCCTCCGGGTGTCTGTCTGTGAGAACGTGTTCTCATTTTAGTCTTAACTTGGTTTTGTCACCCAGATCTATGTGAAGTTATTTGGGGATTTATCATAATTGAATCTTTATATCTATATCATGCTGATGTTTCCCCAAAAGGCCTTTTAGGACTGTGTGAGTCTGACTGTTGGCATACAGGTATGATTCTTCAGCAAGTGTGGCAATCTCCAGAAAGACACAGCAGAGATACTTGGTCAGAGTGTGGGTGTGTGCATGCATGTGTGTGAGTGTGTGTGGTATTGTAACATGAACGGGGGCCTGTTTGTTGGGGTTTTCTGTCCTTCCCAGTTCCCCACAGCCAGCAAGCCCCAAAGAAAATAACACAGAGATCTTTGTAAGTTTTAAAGCTGATTGGCCCATTAGCTCATGTTTCTTATTAGCTCTTATGACTTATATTAACCCATTATTCTGATCTATTTTAGCTATGTGGCTCAGTACCTTTTTCAGCTGGCAGGTCACATCCTGCTTCTTTGGAGTCTGGGCAGGAGTGGGAGAAATCAACTTCCTCCTTTCCAGAATTCTCCTGTTCTCATTGCATCATTTCTACTTCCTGTCTGGTTTTCCTGCCTATACTTCCTGCCTGGCCAATCAGCGTTTATTTAAAATATGATTGACATTAACCAATGAAAGCAACACAAATACAGAAGGACCTCCTACACCACAAAATTACTTTGCCCAACAAAAATCATGAAGCAATTTGGAGAGAACTACACCCATTCCCAAATATTGCTTATAAACGTTTATTTACATTTACTATAATTAATATAGTTTCTATGTGATTCTTTCAGGACTAGGAGGCCAGGAATAAACATGAAACCTCTGCCTATATGACACCACTGCCTGGCATCTAATGGCTTACTTTTACCCTCTGATCTTCAGGCAAGTTTTATTTATTAAAACATAAATAAAATATCCCTATACTATCATGGAAAAAAATAAAATAAAATATGATTGACAGATTACAGACAATTCTCCCGCACCATGGTGTGGTGTCTGTGTGTGGTGTGGGTGTGTGGGTGTGTATGTGGGGGGGGTCATGGGGGGAGCGTGTAGAGGTGTCTGGGGGTGTGGGTGTTTGTGTGTGTGGTGTGTGTAGTGTGGAGGTGTGTGTATGTGTGGTGTGTGGCGTGTGTGTGTGTGTGTGTGTTGGATGTTGTGCCCTCGTGTGGGATGTCTAAGATGGGTGGGGAGAAGAATGGTGACTGAAGGTCTAGTTACCTTTCTTGTTGTGACAGACACCATGACCAAGGCAGTTTGTACAAGAAATCACTGATTTTCACTTAGAGCTGGTTTGTCAGCGTGGGCCAGCATAGCAGCTGGAATAGGGCACTGAAGGCTCACATCTTGAACTGCAAGCATGAAGCTGGGAGAGCAAACTGGAAATGGTGAAAACCACTCCCAAAGCCTGCCTCCAGTGACACAGTCCTTCACCAAAGTCACACTTCTTAGACCCTCCCCAAACAGCACCACCAGCTGGGGACCAAGTGTTCAAATACAGGAGCCTTAGAGGGCATTCTCATTCACACCAGCACACCTCCACTGCATGGGCTTCACCGCTTGGGGACAATGGGAAGTGCATTGGCTGTCTAACTGTAGGAAGGAGTGCCATTACACCAGCTCCAGACAGCATTCCGTTACTGTCCAGGAACACTGGTGCTCTGGGAGACAGTCCTGAATCCCCACCCCAGATGGATCTGTGGCTCTGGGGACTGCTATA